GTGCAAGATTCTGTATACATACTAAATCAACTTGTTGATTGCATTGTTCACTATTTGATATCTTAACTAGTTTGTTCTCTTTGCCTTTTACTTTAGAGAAGCATGTTGAATTCTCTGATGTGATTGCTGATTTATTCCTTTCTTTCATAGCTCCATAAGATTTTTTTCTTCATATTTTTGAGGTTATTTTATTAAATCCTCACACTTTTACAAAATTTTGGTGAATTGTAACTTTTATCGTCATCTTAAAAACTTTCATTTTGAATACGTATGTATTTACAAGGAATTGCGGGAATAGTAAAAAGAAATCTTCTGCACCTTTTATACAGTTTCCCCCCATGCTTACATCTTCTATAACTTCCACAATTTCAAAATTAGGAAACTGACATTAGTTCAAAATGTGCATATAGTTCTATGCTATTTTATCACAGTACTGCAATCAAGATACAGATGTAGTCTATCACTGCAATGATCTCCTTTGTGCTACAACTTTCTGGACACACACACTCCTTGTTCCACCATCCCTAACCCCTAGCAATCATTAATCTATTCTAAATCTCCATATTTTTCCATTTAAAGAATATTATTAAAATGTAATTGTACAGTATGTGACATTTCAAAGTTTTTAATCCACTCATTTCAATGCCCTTGAGATCTGTCCAAGTTGTTGTTTGTATCAATAGTTCATTCCTTTTCATTGCTTAATAGTGTTCCATGGTATGGATGAAATGCAGTTGTTTAGCCATTCATCTATTCTTTAATAATGCTTATGTGATGTAAATTTTTCAATCCTTTTGGTTCCAATGTTTCTACATGCTTTTCTTTAGCATGTAGCCGGATTTTAAAAATTTGGTAGTATATTTTAACTGGTAAATTTAGTGCATTTTCATTTATTGTTATTACTAATGCATTTGAGTTCTGTGCTATTTATCTTGCTTTTGCAAAGAGGTTTCGCTTTTTCTCATTTCTCATCTTCTTTCTATACCTATTTCTTTTATTTTAGTGATAACTCTTGAAATTTTATCTTTCATGTCTAACTTAAGTCTGGGTATAATCAATATATTATCAATATATTGACAATAGGTGAGACCTTTAACTGTGATAAATCTGGACTGATTTAAACTTATGTTCTTAAGTCAGACACATTCAAACTCTGCAATTCTACTCTTTTTTTGTTCTGATATTGCAATTTCACCTTAACCTAAGATTTTTTAACATTTCATAATATGAGACGCATGTGAGAAAATTTGCTATTTTACTTATAAGGCACATGGATATTATTTTTCAAAAGCTCAAAGAGGCTTAGAATTTCCTGAATCACCTACTGTGATCATCTTCACTCCTAGTTTCACTAAGGAAATATGATAAGGTGGTGAATTAAACTAATATTACAATGAAGCAACAGACAATGTTAAATTTTAAAATCACTCTTCAAGAAGTCTAACAGCTTTAAGTGAAATGGGATTCTTGTAGTAGAAGTCCTTAATTGCTCTGTTTTGTCTTTTATATTGAATTCCATATTCAAGTTTATTCATATTTTTCATTGAAATTTGCTCAATGTCCTTAGAAATAAATATATGCCTCTTCTCCATGAAATTGTTTTAAAGGAGCAACAGCCTTGTCTCTGAGAACATATTGTCAGAGGGAAAGCATTTATTTATTTATTTATTTATTCACTTATTTATTTATTTATTTATTTATGCACCAGGGATTGAAATTAGGGGCACTTAAACATGAGCCACATTCCTATTTTTGAGACAGGGTCTTTCTAAGTTGCATAGGGCCTTGCTAAGTTGCCAAGGCTGTCTTGGAACTTGCAGTTCTCTTGCCTCAGCCTCCTGAGTTGCTGGGATTACAGGCGTGTGCCATCACACCTGCCTAGGTTATTCATTTTCAACCCAAGATTGTGAAAGAAAATCTCATTTGCACTTTGACAACCTCAACCCAAATATTCTTGAGAGTCTATTATTTACTATTATATTTGTAGTCTTACTCTTAGTTTGCAGCCTTTTGCTTAAGTGCAAACAGGGAATTTATGGAAAGATACTGAGATATTTCTTACAGTAAGAAAAAGGTTGAATAACCTAGACTGATAGTAGGTAGAAACAAATGTAGCTCTTGGAACCCTGAGAGCAGTGATTTACATCGCTTCATCCTTGCGCTCTGCCACTAAAATTATATCCCTGTATTCTCAGTCCTTGCATTTATGAGGTCATATTCTTAACTTCTTCCTGATCTAATTGTTCATGCAGAACAATAAATAAAAGTAGGGAGAGCAGGACTATTCAGTGTAAATATAGTTGTGAGAACTGTCCCACCACACCTATGACCTGGACACAAAATGTAAAAAAGGTACAAACTATAGTACAGAATGTCTAAAGAATGTTTCAAGAGTCAGGAATAGAAATATATATAGCTAATGCCAAAGTTTTAGTTTCTATTGTTATTATTTTATCAAGTTAAATATTTCAAAGAACTATTCTTTCAAGTTTTTGCTACAGCTGGACTATGCTGTTGATTTATCACATGTGATGTGACTTAAAACACAGAAACACAGACTTTAGGGAATGAAATATTTGTCTACCACGTGATTCTCTGCTCATTCATAAGGCCAGTCAACACATCTCTGTATGGAAATATGTTTCACCTAAAGAAGATATAAGTTTCCACTGTTATTCAGGGTAAAGGAAGAAGGTTGGATTATCTCAATAGCTGGAATCAAGCCAAGAGATGCTGATGCATCCTTCTTCAATATATCATCTCAAATTCCACCTCTATGCCACCCAGAAGAAGACATTAATGTTCCAGGACTGACATATTTTCAGGTTCTCCTTATTAAGAATTTAAGAAATCTTGAGTCTAACCTCATCTAGAGTCATCTTGTTACCATAGTAACGATAATTTTATCATGAATAAGATATAATAAACATTTTAAAATGAATCTCGATCTTTAAAAATTGAGTGTGTGACTATAAAGAATAAAATCACTTCTAGTAATTTCAGGACACTGCCTTGATCCATGCTAAGGCACCAACAGTTTTACCCATCATTGTTTTGTACCATTGGTGCAAGTGTAAACCCTGTGAGAACATCTAATGACATGCTAGTATTATTTTGTATTTAGTTTATATCTTACTGTTTTAGAGACCTGCAATAGTCCATGAGCTACGCATTGAGAACCACTGATCTACAATGTATTCTGAATTGTTTGTAAAAAATACAGAGGCATACATTATAAACATCTGAAAAAATTTTCACCCAGTTTCAATTTTGTGAACTTTTTAAACTGATACCATAGGCCCTGATATATGGTGAATGTCTTTTTTTGTAAATACAGAAGTACATCATAATTTTTTCTATGTTGGGTACCGGGGATTGAACTCAAGGACACTCGACCACTGAGCCATATCCCCAACCCTATTTTGTTTTATTTAGAGACAGGGTCTCACTGAGTTGCTTAGCAGCTTGCTTTTGCTGAGGCTGGCTTTGAACTTGTGATCCTTCTGCCTCAGCCTTCTGAGCCACTGAGATTATAAGCATGCACTACCGGGCCTGGCAGAAGTACATCATAATTTTAAAAATTTATTTTTAATTAAAAAATAAATATTTTACACATTTTTTGGGAACAATACAATGTTTTGATATATGTATACATTGTGGAATGGTTAAATCGGCCTACTTATATGCATTACCTTATATGGTGATCATTTTGTGGTTATAGAATCTACTCTCACAGCAATATTCAAACATATAATATACTGTTATTAACCATAGTCTCCATGGTGTATAATAGTTTTTAATAGTTGCATTATATTCAATGTGAGAAAAGCATGTTGAGTTCAGAAAAATCTCTCCGACCCTTATCATTTTCTGTTTTCATTTCTTCAGTGGGCCGGTTGCAGGGAGGCCGGGGGAGAGGGAAGGTGTACTTGCTCTTAGGTGAACTGAGGAGTGGTGGTGGGGCTCCCCAAAAGATCTTACTACTACTTCTCTTCCAAAGGAAGGCAGACCTAGACCTCTACCTTTGGGAACTCAACCACTGGTCTATACCAATAGTCATTCTTTCTGCCACATTGCTTTTTTTTTTTTTTTAAATTGGGGATTGCACTCAGGGGCACTCAACCACTGAGCCACATCCCCAGCCCTATTTTGTATTTTAGTTAGAGACAGGGTCTCACTGAGTTGCTTAGCACCTAACCATTGCTGAGGCTGGCTTTGAACTTGTAATCCTCCTGCCTCAGCCTCCCTCCTGAGCTGCTGAATCACAGGCGTGCACCACTGTGCCTGGACACACTGCTTTTTTTCTCATCCAAAATGGGAACTCCTTTTGTCATTAAACAGTCTTTACATTTGCCCAAGAAAAAGGGCAATGCTGTCAGGACCAGCATCAGATCATATAGATAGGTGGCATATGGCAGATCTCGGCTTTTTTATAAGTCTCTTATAATTAACATATTTAATATTTCCTTTAGCCATAATCCCATCTTACCCTTCATCATGTCATTCTTGGATTATAACTTTGTAACAAATGTTCTCATTTCCAGTCTCCACCCCAACCCCATGCCATGTCCAATCCATCTTGCACATTGCTGCCAAATGATTGTTCCTTTTGTCAACAATGTCCAGTGTCTCCCAGAATATGACAGAACATTTCAATATCTCAGTTTAAGGGTCAATATTTATTTAAAATTTCCTCACCTTAAACTCTCGTTGTTCCTCTTCCCATCACTTCTATTCCAGGCAAACTAGCTTTCTTCCTATTGCAGGAATGGATTTCCCACTTTCTTGCCTTTCTTCAAACCATTTCCCCTCCTGGACTGCCCTTCCAACCTAGTTTATATGTACCCTGGCTCATGGAAGCTTTCCTCAGCAAGCTCTGCTTTATTTAACCAGAGAGCATATATTTGATAATAAGCACATGCTCATGTACTGTTAGTAATCCTTTTGTATTCATGTCCCTTATCTCTTCAGCTAGATTTCAAATTAAAGCATGAAGACAATTTCTTGTCATTTAAAACATACAACTTTATTGATGATACACAAATGAAGTCTTTGGTGGATAAATTCAAGTCAAAACAAATAATAGCAGAGTAGGCCATTCACGATGGACAGATTCACTGTCAAGTCACATAGAGGAACCAGTAAAAATATTCCATCTAAGCAGCACGATTAAAATCACAAATGTGTTTTCAGTACAAGAGGACTATTTGGTATTCATAAATGACTGTCACAGATAAGATCACTCTGGATGATACATTATTCAAAACTGGCAGCTGGAAGGATCCCTTTACTATACAAGCAAATGGAAAAGCAGTAACTTTCAATTTTCAATGCTTCCAGACTACAAGAACAAGGAATTTCAAGTCTTTTGAGAGGACACAACAATCAAAATTTGTTCACCAGTTTTATAACTTTCACTTTTACCAAGAGGTCATGGTGATTTGCTAAGGCTCGAATTTTCTTAACGCACACTCCAGATGTAGTGCATAAGTAAAAAAGGGAACCTTTGTTGAATTCTCTGTAGTTGAACACTTCTGCTCTGAGATTGTCATAGATAATCTCAAATAGAGTAAGGGCATTGATAAGAATTTCTGATTCCACGTAAGAATTATACAGGGAACTAAATGATGATGGCACTTGGGTACTGAGAAGTTTTTTAAGCATATCTGGATTTTCAGCAAAATTGGAAAGTATTTTCAAAATCTCAACCTTGATTTTCCCACCTCCCTGAGATAACAAACGGAAAAAGTTTGCAATGGAATTGACAAGCAGGTGCTGGTAGTCATTGGTAATAGTCATGTTCGTTAAAAATTTTAGTCCAACTACCTGTACTGCTGAGTTCAGGTTAGAGGCCATAATATCATCCATTACTTTGTTCATGTATACCTGAAGACGGCCCTGGTTTTCATAATTTTCACTCAAGTTATTCATGGCCATTAAGGCTTTTTCTTTAATGTGGGGATCAGTTTTGTTGATCATGTTTGCAATAATTGGGAGGCCTCCCAATTTGCGAATCGTCTCTTGGTTACATGAATAATTGGCATTGTTGCTCAAGGTGAGCAAAGCTACCTGTTGAATGAAGGGATCATCTGATTTCTGAAGCAAGGCAAGTACTTTCCTGAGATCTCGGACACCCAGAATCTCATCAATTTCATAAGGAAAGGGGCGCTTCTGAATGGGAACAGGTTTTTTCCCTCTCCCTCTGCGCTGGGTTTCTGGTTCAGAATCCGAATCCGACTCTGTGTCAGTCCAACCAGATTCCCCTTCCTCAGAATCAGGGACCTCTGCTAGGAAAGCCTCTCCCCCATTAGCGGAGGCTGCAGCAGCTGCTGCAGCCCCATCCCCAGGGCGGAATCCCATTCCCAATTCATCTACTTCAACCTTGCTTTTCTTGCTCTTGCCTTTGCCTCCAGTCCGGGACCGGGTTCCACCCTTGGCTCCACCTTTGGGCACAGCTCCAGTGGCAGAGGCAGCCTTAGGTATAGCCCCAGTGTGAGCCCCAGGGGTTGCTTTCTTGCCAGCTACTGCTGTTCTAGGGGACCCTGAAGTTCCAGGAGCCTCTGCAGCCCCAGTAGGTGCTGCTGACCCAGCAGGCTGTGTGGGCACAGGAGACTCGACCACCTCTGCAGGTGCTGCCATTCCAGAAGTCCGGGCTACCTCAGTAGGTGCTGCCACCCCAGGAGCCTCCACAGCTTCTGAGGCTGCTGCCACCACAGCAGATGCTGCTGCCCTGGGAGGTGCTGCTGTACCAGGAGACACTGCTGCTCTAGGAGGTGCTACTGCCCTGGGAGGCACTGCTGCTGCCCCGGAAGCTGCTGCTGCTCCCCCATGAGCTGCCACTGCCCCATGAGTTGCTGCTGCCCCTGGAGGTGCTGCAGCCCTGGGAGGTGCTGCAGCCCTGGGAGGTGCTGCTGCCCCGGGAGGCGCTGCTGCCCCGGGAGGCGCTGCTGCCCCGGGAGGTGTCGCTGCCCCGGGAGGTGCCGCTGCCCTGGGAGGTGCTGTTGCCCCGGGAGGTGCCGCTGCCCCGGGAGTCGCTGCTGCCCTGGGAGGTGCTGCTGCTGCCCCGGGAGTCACTGCTGCCCTGGGAGGTGCTGCTGCTGCCCTGGGAGTCACTGCTGCCCTGGGAGGTGCTGCTGCTGCTGCCCCGGGACTCACTGCTGCCCTGGGAGGTGCTGCTGCTGCCCCGGGAGTCACTGCTGCCCTGGGAGGTGCTGCTGCTGCCCCGGGCGTCACTGCTGCCTTGGGAGGTGCTGCTGCTGCCCTGGGAGGTGCTGCTGCCCCGGGAGGTGCTGCTGCCCCAGGAGGTGCTGCTGCCCCGGGAGTCACTGCCGCTCTGGGAGGTGCTGAAGCCCTTGACGCCTCTGCTGTGCTGGGAGCTTCTGCCACTGCAGGGACCTCTGCAGCTGTGGGAGCCTCTGCCACTATAGGAGGTGGTGCCACTGAAGAGGCTGCTGCAGCCACGACTACTGATTCAGTCTTAGGCCCAACTCCAGCTCCATCTGTCTCCTGGACCTGATTTCCAGCCCCACTCTGAGCCTCAGGGCTAGACACAGCTGGGACCACTGCCTCAGCTCCTGCAGTATCAAGAGCAGAGGCTTCATCCTGAGCCTTGTCCTCTGCCCCAGTATGGACTGGGGCTGGGGGACTGAATCCTGGCCCAAGGTCAATAGTGAACCCAGCCCTTAGCCCAGCTTTAGCCCTGGCTCCAGTCCCAGCTGCAGCCCGGTTCTTGGGCTTGGCCAGTCTCTTCTTCTTCTGGTCTCTTCCCCTGGTGTATTTGTAGACGCAGTACCAGGCACCAGCCCCAATCACTATCCCTGCAGCTACACAGCCAGCATCCCGAACACGGCTCATGGTGCAACTGATTCTCTGATCCAGGGTGTAGAATTGGCTTGCCTAAGTGGGATGTGTGCACGTCAAGGTGAGGTCTTCAGCTCAGGCTTGTGAGTTCTTCTGAGGCTGTGAGCTGAGCAGAACCCTGGGGTAAATGTTAGAAATGAGGTTAGGGTGGGCTGGGGTTGTGGCTCAGCAGTAGAGTGCTCATCTAGCATGTGTGAGGCCCTGGGTTTTGATCCTCAGCACCACATAAAAATACATAAATAAAATAAAGGTATAAAAAAATTTTAATAAAAAAAATGAGGTTTAGGGCTCTGGCTCCCTTTTTGTCTAACCAGGCCTACTTACAAGAGAGTTTAGGAGCACAACGCTTTGTGGGTGTGCTAGCATCCAAATACATGTGCCAAGGCCTGTGTTTGCTGATTTAGAGAACAGGTCCTATCTTCACCCTAGCTTGTCCTCTCAGTGAAAACAGAATTTCCTTGACCCTAGATGAGAGGCAGTATGAAGACTAGTGGAGAGTGAGAACTCTCAGATTCAGTCCTGAAGTCCCCACCCCCACCCGTGTAGGTGCCTAGATGGTACACATACCACCTTCCTGGGATGAGAAGCAGTTAGCTGTTTTCCACTGGACCTGCAGTTGCACAGAGCCTAAGAGGCAAATGGACCTGCAGACAGATAACAAAAGGCTTTTTTTGAGTCTTTGGTGAACATATTCTGGTTCCCTTCATGATTTGTATTCTTGTGGATCAAAATCCCTCCCCCTCCCCCCTACTAAGGTTCCTTTTTTTCCTCCCTAGCCTTTTCTCCTTAAACTATTAACTAAGGTGAATGCCACACCCCTTCCTCTGCACCAAAAAATACTGGCCTGGGCAAGGGGTATCTTTTCAGGAGAAGATGCAGGAGGAGGAGCTATGGTCTTACTCTGCTCTGATTTCTGCCACACCCACACGACGGTCCCCAGACAGTTGCCACCCTCAACACTGATCTCGGAGGTTTCAGGGTTGCTTCTTCCTTCGGTTCAGTTAGAGCTTCATGCTAAAGACAGACTAAAGGGCGGAAATACAGACTGCAGACGTTGGAGACTGAAAGCCTGGTGGATGGATCAGCACCCAGAACAAGATTCCTATTAATCGCCTTTCAGTATTATTCGCACACCAAAATGTTCAACAATTCTACCTCTCAATTCCCTCGTTTCCTCTATTCCTCCTATACCACCCCCAATCCCCCCTCTTGCGCAGGCTCCCCAGGCACTCACCCCTCCTTCCTCTTTGCCCCGCCCCCAGCCGCCATTTCTCCAGGAACACCGCCACACCCCTTCTTCTGCACCCTAGCGGGAGGCGACGGGAGGCGGCAGGGGCGGGGGAGAAGGAGTGGGTGGGAATTGGTGAGATGGGGTACTTCTACCGAATGCTGGATCAGTCGCAGCATGGGGGATTTTAGCCAGTCGATCTAGTGTCACTCCCCTATTTTTTACTCCTTAACCTCCAGGCCTAGCGTTAGACTGCATTATCCTGCAGAACAGGAGCCCTAACGTCTGCCTTCTCGCTTTCAGGGTCGTGATTTTCCAGGGTTTCTCCGCTCTGGGCTCCGCCTCCCGCCCCCTCCCCCCACGCCAGTCCTCCGATAACCGCCATTTCTCCCTCCTGCATACCCGAATTCCTTTTCCAGGACTGAAAAGATGAGGGTGAAAAGCCTTGCGAGCCAGAGGTGTCTGTAAAAGCAGTCTGGGTATTAGAACGGTGGTTTTCAGGGTTCCCCCCTCCTGTGAAGCTCAGACAGCGCCAAACCTGCCATCTCTTTTACAGAGGCTGGCACACCCATTTCCCAGTACCCCCAAATGACAGAGGGCTCGCCGGGGAGGGGAGGACAGGGATGGTAGGGGTGGGGGATGTCTGCAAAGTAAGGGTGGGAGCGAAACGTCCAGATTATTTCCCTACTGCAGCCCCTGCGGTCACCCATTCCCAACCTCCCCGCTGGCCTTGTGTGCGCTGCCACGTTTATTTCTCTTCCCTCCTCCTTTCAAAACAGGACAGGATGTGGGGTGCAGGGCCTGGGTGTCAAAAAATAAAATAACAAACAAAAACAAAGCATTGGCTGGAAGAGGAAGCAAGCGGATTCCTCTCAAAATCCATCAAGATCTTTTCTTTCCCACCCTGTCTTCCCTCCACCCACCAAAACAAGCTACGTCTGGGCGCCACGGATCTAATCTTGAAAGCAGGCCTGAAACGGCGAGGAAGAGGCAAGCGAAGCTTTAGATTCCCGCATCCCTAGGCGAGTATTCAATGGTCCCAGGACATGCCCACCCTCACACCCACCTGCAGGGATCAGGGGAAATGTTCTCCTTCTCCTCCTCCTCCTCCTCCGCCTCCTCCTTCTCCTCCTCCTTCTGGCCTGGGTTAAATGCTCAGCAATGCGCAGCGTAATAGAGTTGGTACCCAGAGGAGGACAGGGAGTCGGCGGCCAGGGCTTTAAGTACCTTTGCCCACGTCAGCTCCTAGTCACGTGAGGGCTGCATCTCCAGTAAGCTTGGGTCCCCGCTTTCCACTCCCACCAAGAGTGTGAGCCCCCTCCTTTATCCCCACTCTCATCTCACCCCACCACATCAGGTCCTGTCACTCATTCTTTGCCTTTGTAGTTCTGGAGGCCAGAACAGAAGTAGTCCTTTCTCCATGTAAGAATTTGCTTTTCTCTGGTTACCGGGGAGAGGCTGCATCTTCTGGAACAGCAATTGTATATATATGCTTTTTGTTGGAGGAATTTTTTCATTCTTTTCTGGGCTATGGATACTTGTCCCTCTATTTCCAATCTTCCAGCCTTTACCTAGTACCCCCCACCCCCCCACACACACATTTCCCTTGCAGTTTCATGCCCCCTATAGATAAAGAACAGGGTATCAGAAAGGAAACAAGAAATAGGAATGGGGTCTATACTTCGGAATATTCTTATTTTATTTTTAAAACTATTACCACACTTTATTTTTATACTGAAAATTACAATAAAACAAGAATTCAGTGTGGGAAACAGCAACAAAAAAGGGACAGCGTGTGTTGCTAAGTAAACAAAACAAGATTTCCCACTTCATTGGAAGGCACCATTAATTTTGGTTAATTTTTACCACATAGAAAATGAATTCCATTGGCCACGTGGTGTTTTCAGAACACGCTAAGGTGTTTGAACATCTAAAAATGGATTTTTTTTCTCAACAAGGTAAGCATATTTCAATATGATCTGTAAATTGATTCATGGAGAGGTGTTCATTTATCCAGTCTTATTTATTTTGGACAAATAAATGCTAATTTTCCTCCTTCTGGGGAACCTTCTAAGTTGGACAAATAAATGACCCTGTCTTGTTCTGTTAAAGAAACACATTTATTTAATATTACCAAACCATTCATGACTGCCATGTGAACCTTCTGTAATTTGATGGTTATAATGATGACAGTTTTCAATACCTGTCCTTGGATTATATTCCAGTTTAGTGATTCAACTCAGGGCAAAAGGATGAGCTGGGAATCGAAGGAAATTAAGGGTGTGAAGGGTGCAAGCTACTCAAATCCTCCCTGCCCTTTCAAGAGGGATGGAAGGTGCTGTTCTACTACCCCCTCCCATATTTCAGAGCCTTTCATCCACTGAATTCAGATACTTTACTCTGTTACTTATTTCAAAAATATACATGGATACGTAGCCAAGGTGGTGACCTGAGTAAATGCATTTGGCCCCTTCTCTCCATCCTTCAGATTCCTCTAGGGGTAACTTAACTGTGCATAGAAAATATTGCTGTTCCCACCTGCTACTGCAGCTGAGAATTTCCACACAGCCTGAACACCTGATTGCTGGGGCTAACTCCCAGGCCTGCCTATTGTCTGTTTTTATTCATAGTGCCCTTGTAAATACTGTTTTTATCACTATGTGCTACTACCGAATGGCTTGAGAGGTGTAGCCTCTAGGGCTTCTCTCGTCCTTAACTCCAGGACACCTATGAAGAGACTAGCCTTGCTGCAAGGTCACTGCTTGCTAGTCCATATCCACCTTGGGGTCCCCTTAGTCAAATGTATGGCCAGACCCAAGCAACAATCCTGACTGACCACACTGATTGGCCTAGAATAGGCATTCTCACCTGGCCAACTCTGTAGACCACCTGAAATTGTATTCACAAGGTTTGTTTTGTGACTATATGTATGCTTAAGCATACTTTAGGGGGTGGGATTAGAGGTCCTTGACTTCATGGGCTTCTCAAGGGGTCAGTGACTTCTTCTGCAGATAATAAGAGCCAAGACAATGTCCTCAAGGGTCTGTGTTACATATGATAGTCCAGATAGTCCAGATTAGGAATCTTGTTTTTTTTTTTTTTTTTTTTGTCTTGGTAATAATATTCAAAACAGGCTAGGGATGTAGCTCAGTAGCTCAGTGGTAGAACACTGATAAGACATGGGCAAGGTCCTTGGTCCAATCCCTAGCACCACAAAAATTAAGGAAATAAAATATACTTGGAAAGAAACTTGTTCTATTTTTTCCACTCCTTGCCACTACTAACAATTTCCAATTTTCTTCTATGCACATATTAGCAGATGCATTTACACTTATTAATCAAGTTTCAAATTGAGCAACAATAATAAAAAGAAAAGCATTGGAATTTGTATTGTAATTGCAGCAAATCAGCAGATTAAATTGAAGAACATTAACACCTTAAAATTGAGACTTTCTCTCTAGGTATGTTAACTTCATTTTGCTTCACTATGTAAATCAAATTTCAGGAGTTTATTTAGCTAAGTAATTCATATTGTTTGGTAGGTTTTTCTTAGGTATTTAATGTAGTCTTTGAGGATGAAATACTATTTCTTTTCCTAATTATACTTTCTGATAGGACATTTTTTATTTAAGAGAAAATGTTCTATTGGATATTTATTTTGAATTTACCAATTGTGTGTGATCTGTCTTACTAATTTCAATAGTTTTCAGGTGATACCTTTGATTTGTTTAGGTATATACTTTATATAATTGCCCAAAAATGATTTTTCATTTCTTTCTTTCCAATATTTGTCTTTTTTCCTTTTCTGCATTTGACCAAGACTTCCTTGCAAGTCTCCTGATCTTGTTCTAGAAGTCAATGGGAATACATATTTTGTTTCGTCATTTAGTGGAATTTTTGCTGTTTCTGATATTTTCTTTTTTTCAAGGATATTTTCACTTATATTTACTGGTATCACACAAATGTAATGTACAGAAATAATATCAGTGAGTGGAGACTAGTCAAAATTATGTGGTCTTGGTAGCCCACAGGGAGGGATGAATTTTCCAGGTCAGAGAGCTTCCAAAATATTCGTTATTGGGGCTGGATTTTTTAAAATCTAATTTAATCTAACCAATAATGGAACACTAAATTTACATATGATTCTTTACTAGATAAATTAAGTTTCTTTATTCCTATTTCACTAATAGTATTTTTAAAAGTTAAGAATGGCTGACATTTTATCAGACATTTTGATTGTAAGCTTCCTTTTCTCCATCAGTTTGCTGTTGTAATGAATGATGTAGATAGACCACTCTCCTTACCACCTTTGTCTCCCTTTATAGTCTATTCTCAACACATCCAGAGACAATGCCCTTTGTACAAACTCTCCATCCTTTCCCTGTATTTTTTAGAGCAAATACAAAAGTACTTACTACAACTAACAGGGCCTTGCCCTATTTAACATTGTTACATTTCTGTCTTATCATCTATTGCTGTCTTTCTCTCTTTCTCTAGTCATCCTGCCTTCCTTGATGTTTCTGGAACATCCTGGGCTGTTCCTTTCACAGAACCTTTGGTTTGCTTATGCCCCTGCCTGAGATGTCCTTCTCCTAGACATCACCATACATCCCTCACTGACTTTAGGTTTTTATCTAATAGGTGACCTTTCTAGTGTGTCTTTCCCTGGTCATTTTTTTCTAAAAGTTCAACCCATCTTGACTTCATGTCATGCTCTCTTTGTTTTTTCCTGCCTTTTGGGTTTTTTACTCTTTTGTACTTATCTCAAACACTACGCTATTTTTTGTTTATTTTGTTAATTTATTGTTATTTTACCAGGATTAAGGGCTAGGGATTAGAGATTTAGGTCAACTTTATTCACTGCTGTAACCACAGCATCAAAAACAGAGCTCAGTAAATGTGTGAAAAATGAACAATTTAAGGAATGGCTTCCCAACAGTGAACTATCTTTGTATCCCAGAAATAAAGCCTAGTTGGTTATAGCATATTAGCAGATTTGTAAGTTATGCTGTTTTCAGGTTACAATATGTAGAAGATATTTAGATTGCTTTGAATGACATGTATAACACATTATGTCTTGAGAATTATTGTTTATGACATGCCTTTTAAAAATAAATAATTTTATAATTTTCCAATAATAAAAGGAATTCACATTTGTGTAAAACATATAGAAATAAATGCTAACAAATAACAAAATCCATTCCTACTCTCTGCTGCTTTTTTTGACACTCATCCCCCATCCCCATTTTTCAGGTGTTTTCAGGACTCCAGAGGTGAACATTGGTTATTTCAAAAAAGAGGTGGAGAGAGCAGAGAGAAGGATGAGGCTGTTCCCCAGAAAAGAAATAGAAAGGTCGTAGCTCAGGAGGAGATGGTGTCTCTTCTAGTAATCAGAGAAGGATGACATTCTTGTATAAGTGGGGAAAGAACAAGAGGGAAGGCAGTGTGTGTGTTAGTGGAGTCAGAGAAGGAGGGAAGGCAGGGAAGGCAAGTTGTCCTCTGCTTTACTAATAATGAGTAGAAAACTGGGGCCAAATTCACGAGTGACATGGCCTCATATCATCAGGAGCTGAGGTGCTGAAGTATTGGTCCAGATAGTGGTTCTTGTTCAGGTACCAGCTCCCTATTTTCTTGAAGTCAGTGAGATTGTGGCAGTGAAAGGAAAAAGATGAGGAGGAAGCCTGTCCTCATCTCTGTAGGTCCCTGTGAAGGTGGCTATAGATTGGAAACTCCTATCATGGGGTTTGAGGGTGGTAACACAGTTTTCAAGTTTGAAGGTGCTTTTCTGATTCCCCATAAGGATACCCAAACCCAGCCTCTTTCTCATTTCATGTCTTCTAAAAGACAGGACAGTGCTAGCAGTAGAAATGGTTGGCACTGGTGACTTGAGAAGGAGGAGGGAAGTCAGCTGTGTCAGGGAACCTAGCAGTAGAGGACTGTGAGGTGACACAAGCTTGTCAACCTGAACACTGAACAGGGAAAGGTCAGGGTTTGGACTCATATTGGGAAGTTGGACCACCCATTGTTTACTGTTTGTTCCTG